TATCTATCTATCTATCTATATCAATCTATCTATATCTATCTATATCCATCTATCTATATCTATCTATCTATATCTATCTATCTATCTATAGACAGATAAAAAAATCAATTAGAATAAATCTTACGGTTACATTTAGCTACATCAACAGTAAAACGATGAGATCTACTATCCCATCTAGTAGTATTCTTAAATTCATACAGACATGGGACAAAAGAGGAGAGCACATTAGAACAATTAACATGAAAATATTTATAGAAAAGACATAGGGAAGCCATAACGCTGAAAAAGGAAGTGTATTCTAAAATTCCTGGTCTGAACCGATTATATTACAAAAACTTTGTTTTGATTTTGTCAAGAACCTCGCGACACAAGGTGCGATGGTTAAATTGGCGCCATTTTGTATTTTTAATTTCGCGCATGTGCGTTGTTTTTACTGATTTTGTCGACTGCACATTATAATAGAGTCAGTTAGGCACCGGCTCTGAGAAAAAAAGTTATGATGCAATCCTTGGCCCGCCAGAAAATTTGGAAACAGCATGCAGTACTGCTTGATATTCGCGCTGGAATATCCAATACGAACATTTCAGAGTGTTTGGATGTCAATTTGGGGACTGTGTAGAGGATTAGGAAAGAGTTAGATGAGTCTAATGGTGATTACGAAGGTGTTTGGCGTGATCACAAAAGATGGTGATGTTAAGCTTCCATTCATCTTCCCACATAGCCTCTGGCTCAACACAGAGGCTACATCAAGTAATATCGGCCTTAGTGTGGCCTTGGTTAAAGAGGTTGGCTGCTAGACAACCCTGTTTCTGGCAACAGGACTCTGCACCTTACCATACAAGCAGGAAAACCAGTCATGGCTATCAGACAAATTCTTCGACCACACTACCCATTACATGTAGCCAACCTAACTCCTCGCACAACAACCCCCTTGAAGATTAAGTAGTTGAGCGAGAGATGAACATAACTCCTTGTAACACCAAAAATGAACTGAAGGCAAGGATTATGGCAGCATTATGGCACCAACTTCAATAAAGAGAAAGTCCAGAAGAAATGCAGGACATTCCGAAGTTGTCTGGAGGACGTGGTTTTAATCAATGGCAATTTTATTGAATAAATTTACTCTTTAGCATTTCAAGATATTTTCGTGTAATTTTGGCAAATATATCTGTTAAAATAAGATGTCAGTTATTTTCATTTTTAAGTAATTTTGCCGGAAGTTTATCCACCGCACCGTGCATATAGCAGGAACACCAGACTGTCACAAAAATGTTCACTGTACGAACGAATGGTGGATTTATATACATGCAAGGTGGATTCTCGCGAGAATAATCGTCTGGCACGTCACACGTTTCCTAGCAGCAGTATAATCATTCTATTTCATGTTTCATGTGATAAACCTGAGACCAAGAGAGCGAAGAAAAATTAATCATAATAAATTTAGCACTTCAATATTTAGAAAATTTAGGTGTCTCTGTTTATTATTATTATTATTATTATTATTATTATTATTATTATATTTTTTATTTATTAAGGGTTACGTTTTTTCGACAAAAGATTTCATATCTCTTAAGCTCCAATTATTAGGTTGGTGCAAAAATAATGAATAATGTCGTTTTTGACGTGAAAATACGTCAAAAACGACATTATTACGATTTTTTTTGCACCAACCTAATACTCAGAAACGTTCCCCCCATGAAATTGTCCTGGGATCCACGATAAACTACAATACCTCTAATCGGAAGATTTGATGTTTTAAGTAGCATAGAATCACTTTTAATTGATGTTGTTTCCCGGTCCATCCTGACCCGGGGTAGTAGCACCTGTTAGGGTCCCAACTATCAGCAAATAGCGAACCCCCAACAAAAACAAATCACTTTGAATAGGTGGCAGTGCATATTTGCGGTAAAAATACACGTAACGCATTTTTGGACCAGGAAAATACTATCAATAAATAATCATAGTAAAATTGCCAACAATTCATTTTTAAAGTAAAGTAAACATCAAAAGATTTTATAATAGAACTTGCCAATTCCTTTATCAGTAGTTGAACGCATACAATTGCATTCAAAATAAATTTAGTTGATGTCATAAAACTGTGTTCAAAATATTTACATTTAAGCATAGAATAACCCAGAGTGTTTGATATGCCACCAAACAAATCAATTAAACAATCAACATGAAATAATTCTTTTAGGATTTCATCCATATAATATCCTACAATTTCTTAAAGAAATAGAATTTTATTCAAAAATATAACTTCAACAAGACTACAACATAAAAACCTCTAATACCTAATTATTATAATCGCACAAACCTGCAAAAAGCTGAGTATTATCTACCATATATTCAATTGTAAAAGCAGAATAACATATAGGGTACTTTTATTATTTTACAAATCTCAAGAAAATTAAATATCGGAATTAAACGGACAATAAAGAATTGATATGCCGGTAAACAAACAGTCAATCTCTCATCTGAATAGTGGTCACATTCACAG